AATTCTCAGAATGGAGAGGGGTAACTAGTGGTGTTCCCCAAGGGTCAGTTCTCGGACTGATCCTATTCAACTTATTCATACATGATCTGGAGAAAGGGGTAAAAAGTGAGGTGGCAAAGTTTGCAGATGATAGTAAACTACTAAAGATAGTTAAGACCAAAGCAGACTGTGAAGAACTTCAAAAAGATCTCACAAAACAAAGTGATTGGGCAACAAAATGGCAAATGAAATTTAACGTGGATAAATGTAAAGTAATTCACATTGGAAAAAATGCACAGAAAATAACCCCAACTATACATACAATATGATGGGGGCTAATTTAGCTACAACAAGTCAGGAAAAAGATCTTGGAGTCATCGTGGATAGTTCTCTGAAAATGTCCACGCAGTGTGCAGAGGCGGTCAAAAAAGCAAACAGGATGTTAGGAATCATTAAAAAGGGGATAGAGAATAAGACGGAGAATATATTATTGCCCTTATATAAATCGATGGTACGCCCTCATCTCGAATACTGCGTACAGATGTGGTCTCCTCATCTCAAAAAAGATATACTGGCACTAGAAAAGGTTCAGAGAAGGGCAACTAAAATGATTAGGGGTTTGGAACGGGTCCCATATGAGGAGAGATTAAAGAGGCTAGGACTCTTCAGCTTGGAAAAGAGGAGACTAAGGGGGGGATATGATAGAGGTATATAAAATCATGAGTGATGTGGAGAAAGTGGATAAGGAAAAGTTATTTACTTATTCCCGTAATACAAGAACCAGGGGTCATCAAATGAAATTAATAGGCAGCAGGTTTAAAATAAATAAAAGAAAGTTCTTCTTCACGCAGCGCACAGTCAACTTGTGGAACTCCTTACCTGAGGAAGTTGTGAAGGCTAGGACTATTACAGCATTTAAAAGAGAACTGGATAAATTCATGGAGGTTAAGTCCATTAATGGCTATTAGCCAGGACGGGTAAGGAATGGTGTCCCTACCCTCTGTCTGTCAGAGGGTGGAGATGGATGGCAGGAGAGAGATCACTTGATCATTGCCTGTTAGGTTCACTCCCTCTGGGGCACCTGGCATTGGCCACTGTCGGTAGACAGGATACTGGGCTAGATGGACCTTTGGTCTGACCCAGTACGGCCTTTCTTATGTTCTTATGAATCAAAAGACACACCTCCATCTCTTAAATATGTTATTCAACCTTTAATATCTAGGGAGATGTCTCTAACAAAGGAATTAACATATCATAAATATGTGATATTAAACTAGAAAGATGGAACATTACAACGAAAGCTCATTGTCCTCTCTCCCCTTCCTCTACCTCAGTGGTCCTCAACTAGGGGTAGAGAGAGGACTTCCGGGGGTACATCAACTCATCTAGATATTTCCCTAATTTTACAACAGGCTACATAAAAAGCACTAAGCAAAGTCAGTACAAAGGAAAATTTCATACAGATAATGACATGTTTATTATTGCTCTATAAACAATACACTGAAATGTAAGTATAATATTTATATTCCAATCTATTTATTTTATAATTATATGGTAAAAAATAGAAAATAAGCAATTTTTCACTAATATGTGCTGTGACTTTTTATATTTTTATGTCTGATTTTGTAAGCAAGTAGTTTTTAAGTGAGGTGAAACTTGGGGGTACACAAGACAAATCAGAGTCCTGAAAAGGGTACAGTAGTCCGGAAAGGTTGAGAGCCACTGTTCTACCTAATGAAGATGGAAGTTGGGGTTCCCTTATCTATATATCTCCCTCTGCTGGATGGGACCCCTATTCAACTATTCCTCCTCACTTCAAGTTCAGTAGCTTCTTTTCCTCTCTATCCTCTTCACCAGGGGAGGAATTATATGGCTCCTGTTCCATTGGTCTGTTTTTCCTACATCCCTCATGCTGTCCAATATACAAGCCCCAAAGCAGTATGAATACCGCTATTATGATTGGTATTCCCCCTTGCCTTGTTGGAGAGTCAGCTAGAGGACCACAGCACAGGGCACATGTACAGATCTTCCCAGACCCACATGCAGCTCCAGAGTCATGGGATGAATATCCATCAACTGTAGAGTAAGAGGCTATGTTCTCCTTCTAAGTATTTCTTCACACAATGCACAGTCAACCTGTGGAACTCCTTGCCAGAGGATGTTGTGAAAGCCAAGACCATAACAGGGTTCAAAAAAGAAGTAGATAAATTCATGGAGGATAGGTCCATCAATGGCTACTAGCCAGGATGGGCAGGAATGGTGTCCCTAGCCTCTGATTGCCAGAAGCTGGGAATGAGCAACAGGGAACGGATCACTTGATGATTACCTGTTCTATTCATTCCTTCTGAGGCACCTGGCACTGGCCACTGTCGGAAGACAGGACACTGGGCTAGATGGACCTTTGCTCTGACCCAGTAGGGCCATTCTTATATTCTCTCCACCAATCAACCAATCACAAAAGTGTGCTAAGATATGGCACTGGATTTCTAAATCCTTCAGGAGCAGATCTAAAACAAAGGCTATGATGAAAGAGAACAGACTATGATGAAGAGATAGCACCTAAACCTTTAATTTCCCTTCTTCTATGGCTGAAGGCAGTCAGGAAGTATTTTGTAAAGCTGCTGAATAACAATAGGCAGTGTGAGAGGAGAGAGGGAGTAGATGACTCCAAACCATAAGCAGCTGGGGAAAAAAATACATCCAGAGAAACAGCTGTACTGATGGAGTACAACTTCTGGCAGTGTGAAGAAACATAAGTATAAACACTCTCTAGGGTTTGAGATTAGAACTTGGCGTTCGTTTTGTGACAGTGATAGAGGAAAACAAGCTAGCTTTAAGACCGCACGATAATATACAAGACTGGCTTAGGTTATAGTGAAAATTAGTATGTTGGTCTCAACCAAGGCCCTGGAACGTTTCAATATGATCCATATAGCCCAGAATACCATAGTGACACTATTGAAAATTACATTATTTTGTTCCCATATATTCTGCAGTGGTACTAGAGAAGGGGGTGTGTGTGAGTATTTATATTTATTTATTTTCTAAACCAAAACTTATATATTTGGGTTCCTATTGTTACCATGATGTCCACATCAGAAATGCCTAACATTTAAGATAATGAAGCCAAGCAGAAGCTAGAGATGAGACAACGAATGAAATTCTGCCTCTAACAAAAAAAAATCTCTTATCTAGACAACTGTATTTCTGATACCCTGTGAACAATCTTTCAACATGCATAATTCAAGAGTAAACTTTCGTCTGAGCTTTGTAATACCCTCAAGAACCTTCTGTACTTTTAAAATCTTTTTCTGGGAGTAGTCTGCTTTTGATGCATGAGATGGAAGATATGCACAATAATCCTCCACACACACGAGAACAAAACTCTATTAATTATAAACACAGAGGAAGGATGGTCTAGCGATTAGGGCATTAGCCTAGGAACTGGAAGACAAGAGTTGAAGTCCCTACTCTGCCAAAGACTTCCTGTGTGATCTTGGGCAAGTCAGTTAGCCTCTGTGACTCAGTTCTCCACCTGTAAAATGGGAATAAGTAGTACTGCCCTTCCTCACAGAGGTGTTGAAAGCATAAATATATTGATGCTTGTGAGGTGCTCAGATACTGTGGTGATGGGGACCATAGAAGTACCTTAGATTGACCTGGTTGATGTGCAGTTTGTCCACACTAAACATGCAAATGACATATGAATCTTACAGTGTTTATGCACCAATGGCTTATACCTCTGATATATTTGTAACTGAAATTTTTTTGAAAACAGAATGAAGTTCACTAGATCTTATGTTGCCATATAAAATTATAAATATTTGGGCAGCTACTAAAAAAAAAAAAAAAAAAAAAAAAAAACTTATAAGATATGTCACTTCTATAAACTGCATGATGTGCTTGTTTTCTTTAATTTTCTGTACCCTTCCTATGCCTCTGATCACACAACCAATCAATAAGCAGCAACAAACTGACAAACTGGCCAGAATAGATCACACAAACCACACCCACCCTGTACAACCTGAACACCACAGTAACAATCCAGTATGAAAAAAAAAATTGACCAAAAATTATGTGCCTTGCTGCATGCTTTGGAACTTAGTAAACTCAGGCCAAAAGGACTGCTATACTGAGCAAGTTCTACAGAGAGAACACATCTGCTTTCTACTGATAACATCCTGCCTCAAGCCCTAAAGGTGGTACACATCTGAGAACTGTCAGCAAAATCATATCAGGTGACCTTAGCCATCAAGATGATGCATAGGGAAAGAGGTTGCTCTAGTGCAGCCATGCCTCACAGCATAGGGCTCTGCTGATTAAAAATCAACATTTTCAAGAAAACCAGAAAACAGAGAGAAAGCAGTGCATAGCATCTCACATGTGTGATGTGTTCATGCCAATTCATTCCACTAAGGAGGGCCATTTCTTTCCCAAATTCAACCCTGCATATCACTACTATACCAAGAATACCCTAATCTATTGAGAGAAAATCCAACCACTCACTTCATTCCCCAAACATTTTCTCATTTTTTGCCTTATTTTCTCTGTTCAACCCTCAGCTCCACTGAGCCTTCAACTCAATACATTCAAAACAGATCTCCACCACCTCTGTCTCAACACCAACTCCACATTCACCCTACTGCCATGAACCCAAGAGTTTAACTCTGGTGGGCAACCTGCAGCCCATCAGGGTAATCTGCTGGCGGGCCGCCAGACAGTTTGTTTACATTTGAACTACACAATGTACACTACATATCTGAAGTTTGATTTTTTAAAAATGCCACTATTTGAAAATATGTTCCACAAAACTCAAGAACCTGTAGACCCATTAAAACCTTTATAAGGAAGTTCTGAATTGCAGTTGAGATACCTTTCTTAACTCTCCGGCTACATCCATTGCCTGGATATGTTCTGATGCCCTGTGTTCTAACATGGGTAGGAACTACACAAAAGTTTTGAATGAAGATTTTAATTATCAAATTTCTGAATCAAACTATGGATATTACATTACTACTTACCATATGTGCTGCAGTATCCAGATACAATGGGATGTGTTAAGGATGTAGGTTTGAGCTTTTACTCAGAGCTTCCTGGGTTCTGTGGATTTAAATGAAAGTTTAATTTGAACATACAGTACTTTTTTAGTAGCTTTTAATATACAGTATCATTTAGAAACCTTGTTACGAGGATTTATATAATGTCACAACTTACACAATGGGAGGGGGCAACGTTTCTATTATATATTCATACACATTTAAGTCAGGGATTTAAGTTGACTGTGGGATTGCAGGAATCGCATGTTTTGTATCAAAACATATGGTAGAAATCAGCATTGGTTACAGTTAGCAGGCTACGCTCCTGAGGCAGCACCGGAAGCAGTGGGAAAGCAATGAGAACCACTGTTCTTGTAGTATATTTTCAGCTAGAGGTGATCCACAGAGAGCATGAAATTTGATCGCCCCAAAGAAAGAAAATAGCAAAGCAAAGTGGGAACAGTGTGGGGAAGAAAAGAGAAGAGATGTGACTTTAAACTGGACCAGTCATTGCCTTAAAAGAAACCTGATTATTACAAATTCCACTCAAGATTTATGTTAGAACACAAGGCATCAGAAGATACTCCCTTCAGATAAAAAAAAAATAAAGCTTTGACAAATACTTCAATATGATGGGTAGTGTCTTGTGGTGGTGGTGGAGTACCCCCACATGCACAGAAAGAAAGAAAAAGCATGGATTTGTGTCATAACTATAAAGGGAAGGGTAACCGCTCTCCTGTGTACAGTACTATAAAATCCCTCCTGGCCAGAGACTCCAAAATCCTTTTACCTGTAAAGGGTTAAGAAGCTCAGGTAACCTGGCTGACACCTGACCCAAAGGACCAATAAGGGGACAAGATACTTTCAAATCTTGGGGGGGGGGGGAAGGCTTTTGTTTGTGCTCTTTGTTTTGGGGGTTGTTCGCTCTTGGGACTAAGAGGGACCAGACATCAATCCAGGCACATCTTTCTGAACAAGTCTCTCATATTTCAAACTTGTAAGTAAACAGCCAGGCAAGGCGTGTTAGTTTATCTTTGTTTTCTCAACTTGTAAATGTACCTTTTGCTAGAGTGTTTATCTCTGTTTGCTGTACTTTGAACCTAAGGCTAGAGGGGGGTCCTCTGAGCTCTTTAAGTTTGATTACTCTGTAAAGTTATTTTCCATCCTGATTTTACAGAGATGATTTTTACCTTTTTCTTTAATTAAAAGCCTTCTTTTTAAGAACCTGATTGATTTTCCTTGTTTTAAGATCCAAGGGGTTTGGATCTTGATCCACCAGGAGT